ACAAACGTCTAAGCAAAAACTTCTAATATTTGATCAACATATTACTGTTGTTCTTTGGTTGAAATTTAAGTATCTTTTAGCCTCATACCTCACTGTTATCAAAAGTTAACAGATGGTACTGAACTGGTAAGGGATTATTTTATATAGAATAATGCACCTGTATTCCTCAAACTAATATTCAATTAATGTATAATACATTCAATACTAATCATTTTGTTTTCATTTACATGGAAAACTTTGTAGTATGTGCCATGCAACTATGCACTAATACTATGGAGTCTATTTTGCATAGTAACTTTCTTTTTTTTTTAAATATTGACACAACGGGCATGTCCAGATGAGTATGGTCATACAGTATGTGGCACTGCAAACATGTTTGCAGTGCCACATACCACACAGTCTGATGTTCTCCACACTGCAAGGGCACACTGCCCGTGCATGCACTGCTCCAGTTTGGGTTTTTTTTCATGGCTTTTTTTGACCCCTGGATATCCTGTGGAAAAAAAAAACCTGGAGCACCACATGCTCAGGCAGTGTGAGTTGCTAAAAAGCAGAGCTGGGCCACCCAGAGCCATGCTTCAGCTGCCAGCCAGGCTCCACACAACAGGATCACTGTGGCTGCAGCCCCAGGAGGCCCCCAGAACCGTATGTTAGGCTTCTGGGGACAGTCCAGTGCTGGCCCCAGACTTCCCAACCAACCCCCGGGGTAACTTGCTGCACGATAAATAGGGCAGGGTGGGGGGAGTTTAAGAACATAGAAAGTGCCATAATGGGTCAGAACAGTGGTGCATCTAGCCTAGTATCCTGTCTGCAACAGTGGCAGGCATTGATTCCATAGAGGGAGAGCATGTTACTGAATATATCCAGAGTGATATATCAATATATATTCAATACCCTTTCCAGCATTCACCATTTATTGGTGTAGAGATGCCAGAGGAAACATCTCCAACCATTCTGTTCAATAGCCAGTTATAGGTCTATCATCCATGAATTTATCCAACCTCCTTTTGAAGCTGACTGTGCTATCTGCCTCCACCACCTCCAAATATTTTTTCTCTTGGTTCTGTACATCTGAGACACTAATTATGGTATCTAAATCCATGTTAACTCTATACCCATGCCAAGTCCATGACCATTGTACAGAAGCATGCTGTCCCTACTTAGTCCTGCTCAGCATGCACTAAAATTCAGAATTCAGTCAGTGTTTCTGTCTTAGAGTAGTCATCTAAGCATCTAGTCATGCTCCAATAATCACAGCTAAGCCAGAAAGCCTAAGAATGGAGCTAAGCTGCACATTCTAGTACCACTGCCTGATTGCCTAGATTTGGTGCATCCTAAACAGAAATGAGTGGGTAAGACGACATCTCAGTTGTGGTCTGGGGATTGGCCAAAAGCAGTGTAGACAAGTCTTCAAAAAGCTGGACTGTAGAATACCACACTTCAAGGAAGATCTCAGGCAAGAAGTTTGAGCTTGCAAACATGTCATAGAGGGACCAGAGAAAGATGTATTAAGTTGACTGTTCAGTGACTTAAAGGGCTTAGAAGTGCATTACCCTGGAGAGGAATTAATCACCAAAAAATGGGTGATATTTCAGTGTTCTACTTGACCACGTTGGGAGAGTTTGTACAAAGTAATTATTAATTATCATGCTAGTCCTATCATTTAGGGAAAAAATCATTTTATCTGTGATTATTTTCAATATATTTTTATACTGGAATATATTTGTGGATTAAAATTTTTTACTCCTCTACTGCAAATATAGTCTCATAAAAATGAAGAATACTTCCACATTAGCTGAGCTTTTGCCTCTCTTGCTATTTTATGTTGATAGTCTCAAAAATGAACATTGAATTCACAGTTCTTAAATAGGTTCCAGAAAAATCAGTTGTCTTTGGATCTTTAACCCCCCAGATTGAAGCTCAGTACTACATATATTTATTTTCATCCTACAGTGTCATTATTCATTATTTTTTCCTGCAGTGCTTTATTTTAAGAGATGTCTATAAATCCTTTTAAACTTGCAAGGCCAATTACAAGGTTAACTTTTTATTCACATTCATGTTGCCTCCCTACAATCTAACTGATCTGTAAAATGATAACACTGACATAGAAGGAGTTGTGGTGAGAAGCTGTGCATACTTTGTGCTGCTATCTGAGATTTTGTGATTTTTTACAGGCCGGAAATATGGAGGCTAAAACATGCAGTCAAAAATCCACTGTCGGACACTGTACCCTCAGCAGATTTCAATATGATCCTAGAATGTACAGGTAATCTAAAATTCATATAAAAAGTCCAGATGGTAACAGAATATCAGTTTATTTGTTGGACATCAGGTATGTTTTGACTGCAGTATAGTGTTATATAATCACTCCATAGCAACTCCTGAAAGGAATCATTTCCTATCTCTCATTTCCAAATGTATAGTTAGGGAGCCATGTTGACCTGGGATCAGGAGCTTAGTCTTATTAAGTGAACCTCCCACTTATGTCTAACATGCTTGGATAACTTGCATCCTTTGTCTGAATATAGTGCGTATTTATGCTATTTAAACATCCTGAAAACAAGATCACTGAATCTTTAAGTTTCCCAGTGTGCAGACATATATAGTGAGATGTTTTACATACTTACCTGCATCATATGTATTTTCTACATTAGTCCATTATGGCACTTACTTTTTGACAATCAATGTAAAATTTACATTTCCTTTTCCCTCCTTAATGGAAATAAAAATGTACAAACATTTCTATAAAAGTCAATTACATAAAAAATAAAAATAAAAGCCAGCTTGAACTCTGAATCTATTTGCATTAATATGTCTATAGAGTATATGATTTCCATAGGTTTATGTAACATTTTTTCTGAAATGAACAAAGACAAATAATATAACACACAACATGCAATTGACTTGCCATCCTGGGTGATTTTACACATCCCGAGTTTTAAATCACCTCACGTGCAGCCAGTAAAGTCAGAGGTGCAGGGAAATAGGGCTAAAGACACCCTCCCTAATCCTCAATCCTGGCTGTCCAGATTTTTAGTCAGCACGTGTGCCACCCAGGTGGGCAGCACACATGGCTTTTAAAGCCCATGGACATGTGAACCAGAGGGGATATCTTCCCTGTCTCTAGTTCCCAACCCCTGGGCTTTGCAATCCTCACTTCTGCTCTCCAGTAGATCAGCAAGGGCAACAAAATCCCCACCCCTGCTGACAGTCTAGGTGACGAGGGTGACAATGGGAACCGGGCAAAACCCCTTCCTTGTTTCCCAAACTGAAACTGGGCAGTCCCCAGTTTGGCAAAGAAGAATGGAGCAGTACCTTTTTCTCCTCTTCCTTCCCAGACCAGTCCGGGAGGGGAGGGGAACAAAATCAATACAGTTCTCTCAGATCTTTTGAATGTCTGTATGCACCCCATCACCCCAACTCTTACTGTTACCAGAGCTGCAGCCCAGTTCTCTTTTTTGAGTAGTTGGAGTAGCTTGCAAGAAGTCAGCCTGGTCAACTGAACGATGAACTTGAGAGGTGGAAAAAGGGGCTGAAGGTGCAACTGAGCACCATGGACATACCCTAAGATGAAATTACTTCTGGGGTTTCACCACGTGGCATGCATGGATAGGTTTGCTATTGGGGTGTTTGGTCTTTAATTCTAGCTAGTGCAGACCTGTGTTCAGTTCTCTTGCCCATGTTTATTTTATAGTATTGGATATAAATGTAATTTTGATGTATCTTAACATTTCAACTGAGGATGTCAGTAGGGTGGTGATTAACTTGAACTGCCCATGATTGGTCACACCTAGAAGAGTCAATGGCTAAGAATTAGTATTTGACTTGTTTGTATATTGGTCTCTCTGCATACTTTTGGGGGTGTCAAGAAATTACTGGCATAGTGTGAGCCCCCTAGAAATGAAAGGGTGATGTATCTTAATAACCAGATTAGAAAAGGTACTTAAATCTGCCTAGAGAGGTAAAGCACTGCTTGACCTGGTACTGGCTATTGGGGATGACCAAATCGGTGACCTAGTGACTGATGGGAAGCTGGGTGACAGCGACCACAAGCTGATCACCTTCACCATCCACCATAAAGCTGGCAAGTCAGTCAGCAATACTGAAGTCCTTGACTTCAGGAAAGCCGACTTTGACAAGCTCAGGAGGCTTGTTAGTGAAGCCCTAAGGGACCACAACCCCAGGGGGAGGGGAGTCCAGGAAGAGTGGTTGCTCCTCAAGGGAGCGATCCTCAATGCACAAGCTAATTCTATTCCATCTCAGAGGAAAGGCAGCAAGAGGGCACAGCAGCACCCCTGGCTCTCCAGGGATCTAGCAGACCTCCTGAGGCTGAAAAGAAAGGCCTACAAAGGATGGAGGATGGGATTCACCTCACAGGAGGAATATTCTGCACTGGTCCGGTCCTGCAGGGAGAAAACCAGGAAAGCCAAGGCTTCAACTGAACTCCAACTAGCTTTGAGCATCAAGGACAATAAAAAAGTCCTTTTTCAGATGTATGGGGAGCCAGAAAAAAAGCAAAGGCAATATTGGACCTCTGC